ATTCACAGTCAAGCATGCTGTTCGCCTTTGAAGAGTTTATAGATTGATGGTTTTTGGATGTGTGCTAAATGGTTAATTTGCAGGTTAGAACAAAACTCAGATTGGACCGACCATTGTGCCTAAAATTCTCGTTACTGAAAATTTAGTAAAAACGTAAACGTCATCTTGCATATCGTCGGCATGACCAAATGGCATGAGATGGATTTCGTTGAAATAAATGTAGATTTTTGGAACCATTGTTTCTTACGACTGGCCTACAGTAAGAATTGCTTCTATCCCTAAAACATCTGCTATTGTTGGTCCTAATTATTTTTTGCCCAATTGCCTGCCCTTCTGCACAACTAAAGCCTGCTGAACGAGTCGTCCTAGATATCACAAAATCCTTTTCTTCCAGTTTTTTCGAATCCCTTACATTTTGCACATTAGGCCAATCGTAGTACTCTATGTGCTGTTGATCTCGTGGTCCACTTTGCCCTACGAGAATTAGACAGGGGTTGCCGCGAGTACGCATGTGCCCTTCTTGACTACTCCTTCGCCATCAATAACATCCCGCGTCCTCTTTTCCTAACCCAAAGATCCGCGAGTGGCTCTCCAGGCTGGGTTCTCTCTCGACTCGACGATCGCTTTACTTCCCTCACTCAATTTGTCCAATCCGACAAGTGGAAATCTACGGCGCTTCCCAGTGACTGTCGGATTATTCAAGATTACATTTTATCATCTCAATTCTTCTTTCTCCACACTGACGATTTAAGATCTCCAAACGACCGTCTTTTAGTTAAGTATGCTGAAGCTGTGGTTGTTGGTCACCCTCTCAAAAATCAGACGCAGCTCCTGTCGGTGAAAGGTGGCCATGACCATGTCTCAGCATGGTCGCAGGGAAATGGTCTTCAATTAAATAATCAAACATCAGTTCAATGTATTTTCCCGTCCTGAATCATAAGACATCCTTCCTAACGGGGTATTCTCCTTCAGGTACCTTGGCGTCACTTGACCATTGCATCTTTCTTTTTCCCTTCACATCGAGAACCCTTTCCCTAAAATTCGTAAACGTCCTTATTACATCCGTTTTTTATGTTCCTGCCACGCGCCTTAACCCCTTATCTTGCGATTCATAGATGCCTGTATTCCTCCTCTTATTTTTTATTGTTCTCCTGACATTTTTGTCGTTCTGCTCAAAATAGATCTGTTAATTTTAAATCGAGTCCTCCGAATGCTCTCTTCAGCTGCGAGTGTTTCTTATAACATCTTAATCGTTATTTTTCTACAACGACATTTCAAAACTGTCAGGTGATTTGTTAGTCGAATTCTGGATGACATTACCCATCCTCTACATCCGTGGCTTTTGGCTTGTCTCTTGTCACACATCAGCATTCTGTATCGCCGTCTCTGGCTCGCTATCTTACGTGTGAAGAGATAGAAATGCAGAAGCTAAGGCTTGAACTGTCCCCATAGTTGTCGTGTTTTTCTATGTAAAATTTGTTTCACTCTTGAGCAATTTCTTGTTTTCTGTCCACAGTGAATTGAGTCCTTTTTTATTGAAAATTTTTAATCTATACTTCAAAACAGAGCGATTTTTTTCTCCCTCCCCTTCGGGGACCAGGCCTGAAGGTCGTAAAAGTCAGGGTCTCCAACTCGGCCAGGCCTGTTGCGATGTAGCGTCTCTGAGCGGTAAGAGTACTCGGAGCGCTGCAATTTTCAGACCGAATTCCGAGCTTTAAAAGACAGATGTCGCCAGAATGAGCGACCTATTGTATGCAGAACGCGGAGGTGCCCTCTCAGGCGGCAGTGGGCGTTGGCGAGGCTAGCGCATGTGCTGACGGTGTTAGGTCGTGCTAGAGTGAGAGAGCGAGAGAAGTGACTGTACTGCTTAAATGGGCTTTTGGAGCAAGCTCATATGTTATCCAACTGGCGTGGGTTGCATTCGTCAAGTGGTGGTGTTGGCATGTCTAGTGGCTTATGTCGTATTCTCTGCGAAAGTCGGCCGGGTGACTACAGGTCAGTGGGTCTAGAACCTCTCGCTACGACTGGTGAATGACCTTGAGACGACAAGGGCTCGGACAAGGACACCAAATATCACAACGGCGGCTATAGGCGACAGATATAAGCGACTGCTGACGTCCATACCGCCACCCTCTGTGTCGATTTTATATCTTGTTTGGTCTCCACGCTGATATTAAGTCCTCCAAATTAGCTCGACCCATGAAAATCTTCTATTCTTAATGTTCATTACGTACCATGTCATGCACTAGCTCACGCATTTCAACGATTTCTTCAACTACTCCCAACCATCGCTTGCATTTAGAATTCTCATCTTTTGCTTCTGAAAAATTCTGTCAGAGATTACAGTAGGTGGGCTAACTCATGAAATATTAACCGAAATGCGTTCCCGTTTCGGAAGAATTAATTAAATAGGCTTGTAAAACTAGTCATCATGCCGGCTTTTGAAAGACTTCTTTCCGGCTACATGCAAAAACTATACTCTGCAAAAAAGACTACTTCAGTGGCATGCATTTTGCTCATTGATTTTCGGTGCCCCTAAAAATTCAATTATATTTCACGGAAAGCATGCATAAGAATATTCATTATTCTGCTCACTCGGTAGAAAAATTACATTTCCTTCCAATTTGATACTCGAAGGAAGGCTATAATTCGGCTTTAAAAAAGTTTCAAATTGTGAGGTTTTTTGATACGGTGAAATGGCCGTTCACAAAACGTTATATCTCTGCATTTACGAATGTGACTAGTAAAGTTAACAATATGGCTCAAATTCACTGTTAAATTTTATGAACCCCATAGTTGTCGTGTTTTTTATGTAAGCCTTTTTCACTCTTGGGTAATTTCTTGTCTTCTGTCCGCAGTGGATTGAGTCATTCTTTACCGGCAATTTTGAATGTATACTTTAAAACAAAGCGATTTTTTTCAATCTCGCCCCTCGGGAACAGTCCTGAAGGTCGTGAGAGTCAGGGTCGCCCTCTCGGTCTGGCCTGCTGCGATATAACAGTTGGACACTACCCTGATCAAACTCTCGAAACCTCCATAAACACCAACACACAACAATTAACATTTTATGATAGCAAGATGTAGCGACAAACCTCGAGATACGTCAGTGGCCATGCCGACGTGCAAAGCGTCATCACCTATTCCCCGTTTTCAGACTAAGGCGCGTCTGAAAATGTCCACTTCTAACAGGTCACGTCCGAAATAACCGTGCATGTCCCCTGCTGACGATATCTCTGTCATGTACTAAGCCGCTACTGAAGGCCTAGGTGGCAAGGAATTTTACCAAAAATGCAACTCATGGTCCTCAAGGGCAGAAATCTGGGTTTGGTGCACCAACGGACTCTGATCGGGCATTGTACTTACCGGATGGGAGCGAATATGTGAATCCCAGGTTCTTGTTGTAAAGACGGTGAACACACGATATCTGGGACATTAGGTGTGTAAGTTTGAGCTTTCAGTCTCGTACAGGAGGCCACCGTCAGAGACTGTGAGAATGCGGTATCAAACGAGCAGTTTTTGTGGTTAAGTCATGAAGGGAGGATGGATAGAATTGCAGGGGGTGGTATTCGTGATAAGCCGATTCCTACGCCGTCTCAGAGCGGCGTGACTGCGTGCGCCCTTGGCTGGGAATTGGGCCTTGCCTATTGGCCGCGGGAACGAAACGCTTGATAGGAGGGGAGGGGTATATCAACGTGTCTGTTAATAGAGTTAGAGTCAGACACCCAGGCCTCCAACAGTTCTCACCCTGTCTTATTACTGGCTCGCTCTACCATCCGCGTGCTCGCGAAGTTGAGTTCGTGGCCTTCCTCCAGGATGTGAGTGGCGACCTTAGACAAAGGGTCGCCTCTCCGGACTGCCCGTTTATGTTCCGCTATTCTCGAGCTAAGCCGTCGTCCGGTTTGTCCTGCGTAATGGCTAGGGCAGTCCTGACATGTGATCTGATAAACGACACCCGATTGTTCTCCCACGTCAAGTCGGTCCTTCACGCGCATGATTTTGTTGTGCATGGTCGTTGTCGGATGGTGAGCGAAAGACCATTGATGAGCCAAACCCCTCGCATCTGTGTCATGCAGTGGCAGAATATCAGCGGATCACGTGTCTGGCTTTTTGCCAGTGCCTGTGCTGCAGCCCCAAACCAGTGAGATCTCCCAGCAGCGTTGGCGTCTAGGATAAGCTTAAATTCCAATCGTAATGCCTTATAGAATGCTTGCATTAAAATCATGAGTAGAATTATTAAGCACACTATATAGACCTATGCCGGCAGATGTGCCCATCATAAATTAGTCCACCCATTCAGATTGGGCCAGCACCTCAATTGTCGTCACACATTCTTGACAGCTCAGGTTTTCAAAGTACAGCACTGGGTTCCCTCTTCCCGAGCAAGTGTCTTGCAGCGAAATGAGACAATCAGACGCCGGTGTCTAGAGCTCAACTTCGAGCTCCTCCTCCGACCCGGCGATAGAAAGAACGATCAAACGTACAGAAGAGTGCAGTTGTATCTTTGATAAAAGTAGCAAAGTAAAGGCCTCACGCACAGGTTCCCCCTTGTTTGGATGATTTTTTGAATGCTGCACTGGTGTCCTTAGTGACTCGGAGAGTTGACACGTCATAGGCACGCATCATCGGACCGCTTTTCGCATGATCGACTACACTGACCAAAAATAGTAAGCAGGTTTCCATACGAAGGTAAATATATTGTTGCAAGCATATTGGTGTTACTAATATTCTTAAACACTCTTCTCTAAAAATTTTTTGTCTTTTTAAGTACCAATTTATTAATGGAGGGATTATCTCCAAGGCGTTGTCTTTTGAAAACTGAAAAGGGCTCACTTGCACGTAAGCTACGTAGCGTCTTTACTAACAGAAGGTGTTTTTATCGTGCCTGAACAGCCTTCAGGTTAAGGCTAGCACGTAAGGCCTACCAGTACATGAAAAACTGCCTACATGGAGGCGACAAGGAGGAAGACATGTCAACACGTGTCTTGGTTCAGTCCGTCAAGTCATGGAGATGGCTGCTGCGTCTCCCCTTCATTCCCGGCTCCTGAATGTTGGCATGCACTACCAACTACTTCCGAGCAGTGGTCACGGACTTCCGGCGCTGCACCAGACGCCTCGCCCTCCGGACAGTCTGTAAGCGATTCTGAACGAGGCGACGTTTCTGACTTCAGGTCCACGGCAGGAGTCTCAGTGGGGGGATTTTGAGGGACAGTGCGTGAGTTAGTGGACCTATAGCAGCAGCAGAGAAGTCGTATTTTAATAGAGGAACTAATAGTTAAATGTAGCTTTTTTTCAGAATTTGCCTAGCTTGATGCAGTCATTTGAGAAGAGACTCTTTTCACATGCTGCGATGCATATATACCTCGAGGCGAAATTAAAACGTCGCAAATCGATTAAGTCAAATTACACCAAATTTCGTGTGGCCTTAGAGCTCCAAGCTAGCGTTGTCGAATGCGGTTGACTGAGGCATTTGATATAGTAAACTGACTGAATAATCTGACCTTACTGATAAATTTGTTTAGAATCTGGCATGTTTGGCAGATTCAGTCCAGTCATGTCGGTAGAGCAGTAAAATCTATACTGACTATCAAGGTAGTTCCCTCTTCCCCTGCGCACTGCGTACTGCACTTCATTGATGAATCGCTGTGTACTTTGCATTTTTGCACGGTGAGGCCCAGAAAAAGTTTGACACTTTTGGCCGTTCTTCTCAAGTTCCGAAACAATACTGATGTGTTTATATCGTCAACGTAGGAGCACGCCCTTATCTGTATACTAAGACCATTTCCACTGTTTTTGCTTGCGTTTAGACTCGGTTCTTCGACAGAGCGCCCATATTAATACTGATATTTTGCTGAAACTATAAATGCTTTGCTCGTTCTCTTTCTAAAATTAGGTATGTACACTAACTGAACTACACGAAATGTTGTGTTTCATATGCTTTAAAATGGAAATAACCCTTCAGTGCTAGTCATTTAAAAGACATCAGGTAGGATTTTTCAAACAGGAAAACAATGCATGCTCATTCGAACAAAGGAATCACAATCTGCGTTGTTACTGCACTGTAGGGCATCAAAGCGCAAAGATCTGCTAATTTTACTTTTAGGAACAAATAAAATCTCTGGTTTGCTTAAAATTACCTTTGTGTTTGCAAGTTCCTATTTACGGCTAGCATCAGACAAAGGTCTGGTTAAATCAATTTCATTAGAATTCTTGCAAGCAAATTGTTATCCCTCAATGAAAAAGTCGCACAGAAGAGTAACCGATGTCTAGGACATGTATTAGCATAGGAAATTGAACAAATATATTCCAACGTCCATTTTTGCCAAAACCTACTGATATTTTTCTTGTTATAAGTACGTAAGCGAAATTTCTGCACGAGAAAAGGACATTTTATTAAAGGATGTGGATGAGCGAACAAAATGCCCAACGTTGAAGACGTCCAGAAATTCTCTCATCAGCTTCCGTTTTCAGATTTCATGAGATAGGTCACGTACTGTACTTAGCTCGGGCGGTAACATAGTTGGCTGAACTCGTGTCTTGCTTTTACCGCCGTGGATTCGAATCCCATGATCGGTCTCACATTTTTTTCTATTTCATCAAGCAGCAGGGCTATGTACATATCAAACTAACTGAAGCTGAATAAATCGGGTGCAGGGACTAGCATGCTTGGCAGATTCCGTCGAGCCATATCGGTAGAGCAATAAAATAAATATTCACTCTCAAAGTTGTTCCTTCTTTCCCCTGTCGCCATTAATTTTTAATATCCTGCTTAATATGCGTTAAAGTGGAATTTTCAGTAAATGTGGTTATTCGTGTTCCCTCGATTGGCTTCATATTTTTTCGAGAAAACATAAGCGCAGTGCCCAAACAACCCCTTAACCCTCGTATTTTGATATCATAGTGCAGTGCCTTTTATCTGTAAACTAAACCGTTTTAGGAATGATATTATTTTAAAAGCAAAGGACAACTAATTAACCAGTTGTTAATTTGATCAGTCTGTTTGGTATTCGATAAGCGTTCGCTAAGCAAATGATGGCAAGTTGCTAACGCCTCTCTTGAACGAATAACAGATGTTCAACATGTAAAATATTATTCAAATGTGATTAGGATATATGAGTTCGTAAACTCGCAAAAAAGCAAAATCCCTTGCGGCCGTATTGGCTATGTTCGCCATGGTCGGTCAAAGGCTTACCCAGTGCCTGCAGATCCTGGTTTTCTGTCGAGAGAGACGGTGATCTGTGTCTCATTTATTTGGTGTGGCTCTGACTCAAGTACCCTTTTTGGCGAATCAGAGTCAAGGAAGCTAACAAAACCACGACCGTCGAAGAAACGTTCACGTAGCACGCCTACATCCATGACAATTCCAAATTTGGAGAAGTACTCGTGCAGACTGCACTCGTTTACCCTTTTGGGTAGAGATCCAAGGAAGATTTTGTTGGGGTCCACGCTCTGTCTCAGTTCCTTCCCAGACCTAGTTTAAAGGGTTCAGAATATCAAAGTTGGGATTTATTCGATACGTCAGTCGCACTTAGTGTAGTCCAGGACTGTCGCGTTTGCAAAAGACATTCTACTCACTTTGAATGGAAAACTGGACTGTACTGGAACTTTATAAAAAATACTATCTGAATTGTCATGCCGTGATGAACATTTTAATGTTAAGCTCTAGTTTATAAACTACTGCCTACATGCTTTCTGATGTTAGAATGAGCCGATTGACGAAATTCCTATGTGATATTGAACGTTTCCATTGACATTTAACAAGACACAAGCTTATAGCTCAACTGAAGGAGTAAGCTTCTAGTGTTTCCTGCGCTGAAATGGCATGTGTCTGGCGGGTGAGGACTTATCGCAACCATAAATCACGCGGAGTGTGACAACGACGCTTTCGGGTTACTTTTTTCATCTGGCAACGCTATGGAGAAAGACCCCACTTTACCGTCGGTAGACTTGATCGTGTCACACGTGATTGGCGATTAGGGGAGTTTTACGGGTGGGACAGCGCACAAGACTGTAAGCTGATGAAAGGCAGGAAAACACAGAAGTTGTTTAGATTTCTCCTGAAGAACTCATCTTACGCTTTCGTACGACAACGGAAATGAGCTCGGTGATTAAAAATAAACAAAAAGTAAACTTCAAATATGAAGGAGATCGAGTGATGGTTTGAAGCCATGGCAATTAATTGTAATTGGCAATGTAGTGTCTGTAAAGGCCTGCAAATTGGTATCAAGATAAATGCCCGTTTGACGTGATCCGCAGAATTCCGTCAGTTAAGTGGGGTCCTTCTCAATACCGATGCCCAAGCCGAGATCTCGTCGACGGAATGAACGTCGTTATGGAACCCATGTCACTCGCGGAGAACAAGAGTGCCAAGATTAAATGGAACAGACCACTGGACGCCACCTATAACGGTCGCACTGCGATCCTTGGACCCCCACCCTGGCAAAACCACAAGTAGTCCCGTGAGGGCACAAAGGTTCAGCGCCTACTGCTCCATAAGAATCAGTTTAATGAGGCCTACCAATGCACACTGTAGCGGAGGCTGGGGCGTGTATAAACGCCTGGACGGATGGAAATGCAATGAACCGCCTCGACGTGAGAAGCTTTTTACCCAGACAGCTAGGCGGTCAACGGACCGTCATCCACCGCATTTGAGTTGCTGTTCATTTCAGGTGGAACCATCCCACGCCGGATCCAGCATCTCTCCATCCTCCACTGCCCCATTCTATGGCTAGGCCATTAGCAAGCTTCCTAGAGTGGAAGTTCATGCTGGCTTTGTTTATCCATCGTTTCTGCAGAAGCAGTCCAACAACTGTCCAGCCGGATGATCCAGGAGGCAAAAGAAGTTTAAAACACACTGACACTCAAGTTTTGGTCAACCTAATCTCGAGAAGACATACGTAAGTGGTGATAAGGGGAGTTTTACGGGTGGGAAAGCGCACAAGACAGTAAGCTGACGAAAGGCAGGAAAACACAGAAGTTGTTTAGATTTCTCCTGAAGAACTCATCTTACGCTTTCGTACGACAACGGAAATGAGCTCGGTGATTAAAAATAAACAAAAAGTAAACTTCAAATATGAAGGAGATCGAGTGATGGTTTGAAGCCATGGCAGTTGATTGTTATTGGCAATGTAGTGTGCTGCAAAGGCCTGCCAATGGATGCGAAGATAACAGTTCCTGTGTCGTGATCCACAGACTGGCGTTAATGAAGTGGGGTCTTTCTCTATACCGTTGCCCGTCATCCTTACATTTGGACCTCCCTGCAGCTCATCAGGAAAGGTTTTCACTAGCTAGCATACACATCCACATTTGAAAATGGACTCCATCAAGGGAGGCCCTATAAAAGGCCAAAATTGGTTGGCGTAAACAGTTCCCTTATTTTCACCTTTCTTTGGCCTGACACACGTTTGTTCTCAAAAATAACAGAACTTCTAGGCTCTTTACCAATACGCAAAGTCGCAGTGACTGGCGATTTTGCACTATGGCGAATCGAAACCCTCATCCAAAATGGAACTGTGGTTAATATTGGCAGTGAATTCCTGATCATTGCATGGTTAATTAATGTGTTCTCTGGACAATAATCAATGTTCAGGGTCACCATTGTAAATGTAGACTGTCATATGGCCTAACAAACTGTCGTAGTAATTTCCGCACAATTACGTTAACATACCACCTCTCATACAACTGTCTAGTCACACACTTCTACCGTCTTATCAAGATGTCGTTCTGAGCTTGTGATAAGCACATTCACTGGGAAGAACGTTTGCCGCCGGTCATACTCGGTTTGCCTCCACTTTCAAACCTTATTTGTTGTCCTTCGCCTCCGAACTTATGCGTCGCTTTGAAATAATCCTTCGCGTCATATTGCGTACCGCAACAGGCCAACACACTTCGCACGCTACGGAGCTTCTAGAGACTTCCACAAATCCGGTTAAAACTGGCAATCCTGTTTATCTTCCTACCATCCCGCCGCTGCATTTAATCACTGCGCGCGGAGGTCTTCTGGCGGTTTCTCCATACGTACGTAGAAAATGTGTCCTTCCCTGACGGTGGGACCTGATAAAACAAACATGCCCAGAATCGTCGCAGCAAACGACGTCCCTTCTCCATTCATGAACTCCCCCTCCTCTCATATCCTTATGTGCACTACGAATCTACAAAATTTTTGCATTCGTCCTCTCATACCTAAATTTGGGGTGTTCCGTTAACTATCTGATTACAGAAAACAGGAAAATTACCATGTTTTTTGATCGACTTTTGGGAAATAACTTTTGAGTTGCCTTATTTTGGAGACAAAGTGTGTTTGCAACAGGATTCGTTAATGTGATCAGTTCTAATGGGACGACATTCCGAGGCACCTTTAAAACTTATGCACTATGCCCCAGATGTTGTCGAACTCATTCTGTACATGCTGTCAAGTGAGGATGAGTCTTAATATACAGAACAATGAACTCTCACTCGTCCCATTAAAAATCCTTTTATCTATAGATCAAATGCTTACCCGGTGTCTGCAGATCTTGGTTCCTCGGTGCGAGACACTGTAATTTTTATTTTATTTAATTCGTGTGGCTGGGACTCAATCACCTTCGTTGCCGATTCAAGGTCACGGAAGACAACAAAACCACGATCGAGTCGTTTAAACCTTTCCGCCAATCTGACGTCCTTTACAAGGCCAAATTTGGAGAAGTACTCATGCAGATCACTTTCGGTTACCGCTTGGGGCAGAGCTTCAATAAAAATTCTGTTCGGGTTCGACTTCTGCGTCACTTCGTTTTTGGATCTGGGTCAAAGAATCAGAGAAGTCAAAGGTAGGCCTTTTCAAGAGGCAGGCGCACGCTACATAGTCTGGGGCAAACTGCCTTGTGAATCAACTTTTTTATTGTTGAATTTGAGGCCTGATTCTGATTTTTCTAGCGAACATTATGTCTGAAGAAGGATCATTAGGCTATCCTGATTGCCAGAAAAGCGTTAACTGCATTGGTACTTCGTTGCAGAGACTGTTCAGATTATAAACTTCCTGCGGACAGTCAGAGTTCTGAACGATGGCTTTGAGTGACAATCCGAAACATCAGGCTAATAAACTGCTTCTTCCAGCGATCAGATCTTTTTCTTCTAAATATTCGAGATGTCTTAGCGATTTCGTCCAAACTTCCCCTGTGTCCTCAGTATTTGTCAATACCCCGATCGAGGCAACTTTTTTTTCCGTCACCGTCTGAGGTAGCACGCTCAACGACCCAGTGAATACCGGATCAACCCTCCGGTGATAGGTGTACTAAAATGCTCTGATCTAGCTTTCGGGAACAACGGCCAGACGCAACAAATTTCCTGGTAGATTGTTCCTCAAAACTTTACCACCCTAGGCAGGAGTAAATGTAGATGTTTGTTGCAACATTGGCTAAAAATACGTCGTCGTACACGGTAGACTTTCTACTTTGTAGGCGCCTTACGAACCCTCTCCTCATCTATGAGCGTTTTCATACACATTCCCAGCCCTGGCCTGCCTAGAACCCTGTCCTCACCACAGTGCTCACCGTGAGGTGTGGTTGAAAATCACATTCAAATTTAAAACAATTCAGTGAAGAGCATCGAATTATGGTAGGCATTAAAAGAGGGGTTGGTCTACCTACTGACTACTATATTTTTATTTTATTTTTATTTTATTGTATTTTACATATTTTACATATTTTAGTTACATATATACATATTTACATACATATTACATATTAAATTGCATATTACATATATTACATATTATATACATATTTACATATTACATATAACATATATTACATATTACATACATATTTGCATATACATATTTATATACATACCTACTGACTATCATATTTTTATTTAATTTCATTTTACATATTTTACATATTTTTCACATATTTTACATTTTTATTTTTATTTTACATATACTCCGCTTGTTGGATGCCCGAAAATTGGGCCAAAGCTTTCAATGCACTTGGAATAATGATTCGTTTCAAAAGTGATCAATGCAATGATTAAAATGATAAAGCGCGGTTATTTTTCAACAGCCATGTAACCAGCAATTATAAGATTTCAGACTTGCTTGGAAAACCAAACAAGAGAAGTGTGGGGTTACAAGTATTTCCCTCGCACTTAAGTTGAGCTTTTGCTAAGCCCCAAGGTCGTACCAAGTACTGCCGCCTAGTTTCATCTATAATCTTACCAACATTTCAGTCCAAACCACCCTTTCCATATTACTACGAATGCCAGCCCTCGCCCTTACCCTTACTCCAAATGCAATACGAAGAGGGCGTGGCCTCGATCGTATCTCATCAGACGGACATTTCTTTATAACAACCGAGTGCGGAACGCCATTTGTATTTGAGCAGAGTGATACAGTAGGCCGCGTTACTTAACAGCTACGAAGCCAACATCCCGGTCCTTCTAATGGTACGCGAATTTTGAGAGTTTTCTAGATCTTGGTTGGCATGCACTCTCAGTCCTCACTTTTCCACTATTCTCACCTACCTCAACTCTCGCCACCTGTCACAAACCTGACTGAGAATTTGGTGTTTGGCAACGTGTGTGCACAGAAAAGTATAAACGCATATCAGTGGTGCTACTTTGAGTTTTTCGCAAGGCAGACAAAAAAGCGGGTAGTTCTTATGCATAGTTTCTTGCTTTGCACTTATTTGCACAATGTGCATCAGGCTACTTTGATCACATAATTGAGAGATCTGAAAAAATATTGTTGCATCCGGTGTGTTTATTCTCGTCTACTTCCCTTTCTTCATCCCTCTCGGGCTTCCCCAGCTAACACTCAACGTTACTGCCAGTATCTTATTCAAACCGAAGATCGTTCGACGGCAAATTTGTTACCTCCACGCTCTTTTCGCTGCTAACTTTTTTACCTAGGCAAAATCTCAGCGCCAAATACTGGGCGGGGAGGTCGTTGCGCTTGTTGATTGATTGGAGACCGGAAAACCATGACTAGAACAATTCACAGTTCACGCGGTTGCTGTATGTAGAAAGAAATGTTGTTATGTCAAACTGGAATGAGTGGTTGCGTCCCTCTGAATAAGCCGCGACCTGCAAGATGGCATCGTTCCTCCTCACTGCTACCGCGTGCTCGGTTATCCGCGTCCGGAGTAGTCTTCCGGTTTCTTTGACATAGTCACTTTGCCTACAACTACACAAGACCCGGTGAACGACTCCATACGTTTACCCGTGGCAGTGGATCTTTCGGTCTCATGATCTGGCGCCTTATAGTTGCCTCCGGTCTGTGTGCAACCCCATGTCCAAGGTGCGTAGAAGGACTACTGACGACTTTCAAGAAATTTTCACATATGGCAGAACTCGCCAATATTTGGGGTTAATGGAATCCTTCTATTACCTCGATTCCGCAGGCACTGGTGGACGAAGTTTTGGGGGTCGCCATTGGAAGGTAGTGTAATTCAGCAACCTTACCTGACTCTGTCTCTAATGATGGATCTAAGTGAGAATCCGAAACGTTGGGCTGATAAAGAAAAGGTGTATTATGTCTCGTGGGGCCACTCGCCATTGCTCTTTAAAGATAGATGGAGGAGCAGGAAGTGTATGAAACGACATTTTTGATGTTCATTTGTTTGCAAGCGCTAATCGAAAAGTGCACAATCTGGCCTGCTTTCCATTAGTCCTGCCTCTGTCCTTCTGTCTAGTACTCAACGCCGAATGCATGCGGTCGGGTGAAGTTAGGAGCCGTCTTACAAACGACCAAGCGGAAGGTAGTGATTTGCGATAGGTATCAAAATAAGATTTGACTTACCCACAGAGGAATGTTCAGTCCCCTACGTACTTAATTCGCTATGTTCATTTTATAGATATGCCCATATTTTTCCTCTTTCAACCTACCTGCAATAACGGTTTAGTGTTAAAATGATCCAGTAGGAAAATTTAGAACTTTAGTAGTGGCCTTCAATTACAAGACTTTGGGTCTGCTCAGAACTTACTAGTGGTGTGAAAATGGTAACACACAACGCCACGAAATCTCTATTTCTTAAAGAATGAAAACCGGTCGGGAAATGCGCAGATGATAACGCCTAGAAACTGTGACTTTCCGTTTAATTTCAAAAGGGTACAAAGTTTAGCGTCCTATCTTTAAACCTAAGTATAAATCTTACGCTGGTTGCGCCGAAATTCGTCGACAATCTGCCTGTAGTATAAAAATAAGAAGAAGGAGAAGGAGAAGGAGAAGGAGGAGGAGGAGGAGGAGGAGGAGGAGGAGGATAAGGAGGAGGAGGAGGTATTTATAACCCTGTCTTGCTAGATAAAAACGGTAAACGACAATATACTTATTTGGCGACAATTTTCTCTATTATTTGAACCAATATTAGACAGAGTCAGGCTGCAGTTTTTTAGCAGTACCTACCTGAGATTCGCGTAGACATTTGGAATGCCTCGGAACAAAAGATTCCTTCGAGGCAGGTTTGGATAGACTACGCTGTAGTTCTGTCTCAGCAATTAACCCCTAAGGCAGTGCAGCTTGTCACTGATCTGCCAATAAATAGTTTTCCATGCCTTGGTTGTAACGTGAGTGCAAACATGCCAAGAGTAAATAGAAGAACTAAAACTCAATGGATAAATGGATGGATGTTGTCTCTGATGAAAGGTTTAAACAGGAATCCGAAACGTCAGGCTAATAAAGCTCTTGTTCCAGCGATCGCGTCTCCTTCTTCAAAACAGGAACTGTTTAGACGAGAGGAGGGGAAATATCGTATATAACGGGTAGAGGAATAGCGAAAGTCAGAGCACTCTGGTAAATAAATCAACTGGACTTGCAGTTGGGTCCTGCGTGAACGAAATTCACCACGGTGCGTTGCCGGATCGACTTTGAGGCGACAGCCATGGAGGAAGTGACAGGCCTCCAGAACGCCATCATACATAGTCCCTGCGTCAGCGAATGTGACGAACCCGAAACCCCGAGACACGCCTGTATCCTTATCGGTTATTATTTTAGCCCGCCTTACTGTGCCAAATTTGGAGAAGTAGGCTTTGAGATCGGCTTTTGTGGTTTCTCGTTTCAACTGATAAACAAGTATGGTTTGTTTGCTGGAGGTGATATCAGCAGCGTCGTTGTTCCCTTTGGCTGCAGTGTGAGGTGGGACTTTTCTCATCTTTTTGCGGTTAGAAACACCGCGGCGAGAAGATCTGTAGAGTAAATACGAAGCAGCAAGAGACATCAAAAATAAATGTATGCATCTGTGTAGACGGGTTTATGCAGACAGGCCCATTTCAAAAGCAGACGATACGGTCTACAGACCATGAACTTAAGTTCACCATCAGATTATTAAAGTACATTCAGAGTCATTGCTCTTTTACATCACATTTCTAAGATTCCGTTCGAGCTTCTTTTCACCCTACGTAGCTGCCCGACAGATGCTTGGTCTAAAATGGTGTCAGGACTTCTGTAGTCCACGGAACGCTTATCAGTTCCACACACGGGACAGGCGATGTAGGGCAAGCGATCACTTCCCACATCAGTCATGTACAAGCGTCCTCATTCGATTACCATATGAACTGCTCTACTTCAATAACGTAAGGAATATTCACCGGCCAATCTTTTAAACAATCGATTGCGAAAGGCGTCAAAAAAAAGATTGACCTACCTACAGAGGAATATTCAGGCCTCCTTCGTTCCCTACGTTAATTTTACAACTAAGCCCATACGTTTCCATTTTTTCTATGGAATTTGACATTAATTTATTTCCCACACTTATCCTTTTAACCAACTAGCAATAAAGATTTGTTGCAAAAATGATACATGTCAAGGTTTTGAAATTTAGAAATACTTCAAAAGTCGCAATTAACCTTTAATCACAGGATTTTAGGTCTGCCTAGAACAAAGAACTATACACATATGATAAAGTAAAACGCCAAGAAATCCCTGTTTCTTACGAAAATGAAAACTGGTCAGGAGATGCGCAGATGATGACGCCTATAAACGGGGACTTTCCGCTAAATTGCTGGAGGGTACAAATTTTCGCCTTCTAGCTTCAACTTTAACTTTAATCTTACGCTAATTCCGCTGAAATTTGGACACAATCTGCCTTTTGTATAAAAAGGTGGGGAAGGAGGGAAGTATTTATAATCCTTCCTAGACAGATGAAGACGAAAAATGCACATGTACTTATCTAAGGAAAAATGTTATCTAATAGTAGAAAGAATAGATGTGGAATTCCATTAGGCAGAGTCAGACTGCAGTTAGTAAACAATGCTGCCTTCCCCCAACTATAGACGGGTAGGTATTTGAAATGCTTCGGAAAAATAGATTCCTTAGAAGCAGGTTTTTATAATTCACGCTGAAGCTCTGCCAGCCTGCAGTTTTCATGCCTTAGACGAAACTTGAGCCCAAATATGCCAAGAGCAAACAGAATCACTACAAGTCAATGAATGCCTGAGCAAAGAAAATGGAAACTGCCTAGAGGCGGGGAGGGGAAATTTCGTATATAACAGGCAGAGGAAGAGCAAAAGTTAGAGCACTGTGGTAGACAACTCAACTGGATTTGATGCTGGGTCCTGCGGAAAAAATAATCACTACGGAGCATTGACGGATTGACGTTGAGGCGACGACCATGGAGGAAGTGACAGGCATCCAGAACGCCATCATTCATGGTCCCTGCGTCAGCGAAGGTGACGAACCCGAAGCCCCGAGGCCAGCCTGTATTCCTATCGATTATTATTTCTGTCCTCATTACTGTGCCAAATTTGGAGAAGTAGGCTTCAAGATCGCCTTCCATGGTTTCTTGACTCAACTGACCAACAAATATGGTTTGATTGCTGAAGATGACATCGAAGTTGCTTCGTTTTTTGACTGTAGTTTGAGGTGCGACATCCCTCTCCTGATTGTGGCTAAAAACACCGTGGTGGGCAGATCTTTGAAGTAGATTATAGCCGAATGAATCATCAAACGGGTTTTTAGAGACAGATCTTTTTCAAGAGCACAAAATATGGTTTTTAGAATATGAACTAGAGTTCATCTTTGGATAATGAAAGCTCATTCATCGTCACTGTCGCGTAGTTCCTGTCTCACATTTATTTCACTGTTAACTGCTGCTTGGCTTCTCATATGCGCATGCATAATCTACTCCTGCGAATGCTCGAGCTAAAATAATTATTTCTGGACTGCTGTAGCTCACGGAAATTTCTCAATTTCTTTATCAATTAATCATATCACATCTGAATTTAAGCTTTCTAAACCGAAAACTATGTAAATTCTTCGCAAGGGAAATTATAAATTTCCAGAGGCTCTAAGAAAGATGCCACATTTCGCAATTGATGTGTATTACGCTGTCTATTTTATGAAAAGCGTAAACAATATGCTGACGTCTAATTTAAGGCTCCATAGACCAAAAAATATTCCCTATTAAGCCAAAAATTAAAGCATGAGCGGGAAGCAGCCGATTTAGTAAAAAAGTGGTATTTTTCTGGCATTCTCGTAAACTATATATGACAGTTTAAAAAGATATTTAAAACTTATAATAAAAGGTAGCAAGTGTTCATTTTTTCCAGAGAGTTGTCTGAACGGGCAGCCAGAATAAATCTCGTACAAATATCAGTATACTGCAGTGAATAGAATGTCTAAGGACTATGCTGCCTGAAAATCGATAGTACAAGCCTACTTGAATACATTCCTAATATCGAAAACACGTTTCTGAATTTTCGCTAACATTTCCTGAGGTAGCACATCGACTGTAGTAATGTATTTTGATTCTATGAATCCGCGCAGACTGTTTTCGTTTTTTGAAATTGGACAAGTACCAATGCCTTCCTTATGTTAATATTCAACTCTGCGTAAGGTGTGTTCTGTGAACCTTAGGCCATAATTAAAATCTTGGAGGGCATTGGTTCATCAGAATTCAGAAGTAATAGCCCATTACTAAATTTCACTTATGCTTATTTGCCATGGTCATGATCACTTAATAAATTAAAACGTCCGACAGGGCGTCATCTTTCACAAGATATAAAGGGACACGAGAAGGATGCTGGGGAATGAATGAAAGCATCCACAATGCCTTGGGCATATATTTATCTATTATTAGCAGCTGCCTGGCATCTGATTTGCGTGGGCATGACCTACCCCGGCGAAGGATTTGTGTACTGCTGTAGCCTACGGACCTTTCTCAGTTCCTCTATTAATTAATCTTATCCCGTTGAAGTTAAAGTTTTGCTAAATCTGCACTTTGTGTCCGGCGACTTAGTACAAGTGACTGTCTCTCACATCAGTTATGTACAAGTGTCTTCATTCTATCAATACATGGCCTGTTCTACTCCAATAAGTTAATGAATAATTACCGAAGACGCTGCGGTTAAATGTAGCAGACTGTTCGCTCTACGTACAAGAAGGTATTTGGCTAAGATCGACGGCAGATATGGTCATCAACTGACTGAGATTTGCACATTTCCAACTCAAACGCAGCATGTTTTGGTGCCCTTGGCAAGATCGGTGTCTAAGGCATGGTGCAGATCCCTCTCGGTAAGCAGCTAGTAATGGTGTAGACAAACCTTTATCCGTTCTCTCCGGATATTGGTTGTGCATTGGTAGAGGGGCGCCCACCGATCCTTTCTGCTGAAATCACTCGTATAGTTGTGCCTTAGCGCTTTCTTTCTCGAGTCCAATCAGCAGCCGCACAGCGGTGCATGATATAGGTAGAATGGTATTACCGACAAAGACAAGGGAGACTGGAATAACCATTTCTGGCTTATTAGCCGTCGTCAGCCAGTCATACCCAACGTCGAAGTGTGGAACATCTGGGGCTCGGACTCGCGACCTTTTAATCAGAAGTCCGACGCCTCTAACCACTGGGCCACGGGCCCTTTTTTCTCTTGGTGGCGATCGGGAACATACAATGGTAGAGGGGCGCTCACCGATCGTTTCCAAGGGACGCACTCGTCTCTTTGTGGCTCAGTAGTTAGAAGCGTCGGACGCCTAACTGACAGGTTGCAAGTTCAAGCCTAGGGTGCTCCACACTTCGGGGTTGGATATGACTAGTCGACGACGGCTAATAAGCCAGAAATGGTCGTTTCAGTCTCTCTTGTCTTTTTCGGTAGTACCATTCTGATTGTGGAGTGCTGAGGTTCTTCTTGTCAATTGCTTACTGCGTTTGTATAACCGTACTTTAGTGCCATGAGGCGGTTGCTTTTGTTGAACGTGCAAATTCGAGAAAAATTCCTAGCATGTCAGGAGTAGTTCGTTTGCATTTTAACAATCAAGAGTTTCCATATCAACATCCGCTTTGACCGCTTAAATCGACTGTCCTACTCCAGTAACCTAAGAAACGTCCGATGTTCGAAATCGCGACATGTTAGTTATGAGTCCAACGCCCCTAACCACTGGGTCACGGGCCCGTTGTCCTGCCGGGAATATATAATGATAGAGGTGCTTGAAGAAGGATACACGATCGCCGAGACGAGAGCTTTATTAGTCTGAAGTTTCGGACTCCTGATCGAACTCATCATCAGAGACAACCGCAGATACGAATGATTCTTGCACAAGGGGCTGCAGTATTTATAGGATCCAGTCGCCATGCTACCGCATACCAATGAGCATTCACAGCCCCCCTTTATCCGGGATAGTCGCACTTGGTGCGCTAATTGCCTGATGGCCGACGTTCGTGTCATTAATTGCTGCAATTTCATCACGTGCGTTGGATGTTGGTGTGATGATTGCTCGACCATCTGACTCATCAACCCTGGTGTTGGAAAAGTGTTCACCTGTGCGCTCCCCGCGTGGCCAATTGCTATGCCTAGGCGAAGTCTCAACACCGAGTATGGAAGTGGAAGTACGTTGCATTTGTGAATGGACAGATGAACACTTCTCCAAACACCAGGGTTGGTGCATATTTGAGAAAAATTCCCAGCGTTTCAGTACTAGGTCGTTCAACTGTTCACAATCAAGAGATTCCGTATAAAAGTCCGCTTTGACTGCTTTAATCGACTGCCTTTTTTAATGACGCCGCAGCTTTTTTTCGTTCTTCTGTGACGACTAGCTTATTTAATGTAATTCACGATAACGCTCGTGGGCAATGTCGCCAATAAACTGATATTTAGTGTTGATTTTTCATAAATTGATTACACCCCCTTTGCCAAGTGATTTTTTTACTGCAAATAATAGTAGACTGACATAAGTGTTGCAGTTTTCTTTCGCTTCTTATCGGTCTCCTGTATTACGATGGGCTGGTTCTCCGGATATGCTATTTCGGTACCGTTTCCAAACACTGCAGATTTGCATTCATAAAAAAATGAACTCAGATTCTGAAATATGTCTTTTGTTCGAAAAAATACTTAAGTAGATGTGTGCAATTAATAATATTTCAGCATAGACTCGGATATATCATTTGGGCCAAGATGCTACACGTCTGCCTGAATCGCACTTTTTTAAAAATACTCACTTAATTGATATGAAATTATCTCTATTGGTTTCTGCTTTCCAATGCATTAAAATATACTTTGGAGAAGATACGCATAAGATGCGCTTTTTAAACCCCCTTAATAGCAAACTACGCCTTCTTCCATTTTTATACCTTAAAATAAAGTTCCATTTGAAATCGGAGTTGCGACTGCATTCGCATTTAAGATTTTTTGGCCACAAGCTATATAGATCCTGTTTAAGGAGAACTATGCATTTCTAGAGACTCTTAAGAAGATATCACATAAGGCCAATGGAGTTCGCAATTGATGGAGACTACGTCATTTACCTTATAAAAGACGTTTATAAATGAGCTGATGCGTAATTCGAAACTCTTTAGACCTAGGAATACTCTTTTTTATGAAATAATTAAAGCAGGCTCAGATATCCACCGATATAGTGTATAGAAGGGATATTATTCTGCATTATGTCTCCTGGGTTATATATGAGAATTTGAAAGAATATTCAAAATTAATGGGAAAAGTACATAGTGGTCATTTTTTCCAGAGAACGGTTTGAACAGGCAGCCAGAAAAAAATCTCGTAAAAAATGCTTAATGGGGTACTTAAAATATCTAACGACGATGCTGCATGAATATCAATAACACAAGACTACTTGAATAATTTTTAAATAGCTAAAACACGTTTTATAATTTCCATTAACTTTTTATAAAAAAACACATCAACTGCAGCATTATATTTTAATTTTATGAATTCTCGCAGGTTGCTGTTGTTTTTCTTGAAATTGGACAAGCGTTAAAGGTTTTCCTTATGTGACCAATTAACTAGGCATAAGGGATGTTCTGCAGAGCTTAGGCCGTAATTAAAATGTCGAGATGCATTGACCCTTTAGACTTCAAAATTAATTTGTGATTAACAAATTTCGCCTATGCTTTTTTGTTATGATCATAATCACTTGAAAAATTACAACGTCCAATGGGATGTGGTTTTTTAAAAGAAATAACGGGACACGAGTAGCTATCTAATAAATAACGGAAGGTATGCACATTTTTTTAGAGAGAAAATCATCTATTATTAGGACAACTACGTATAAAATACTATTGCCTCCTGTGATTCCCTAATTTCTGCTACCTTCGATGCCGATTTTTAAATAACCTCCTATACGGCGCCTGTATAAATTACACCCACGTAAAGATTACTACTTAACTGGTGTAAATTTTTATTATTGACCTTTTTTGCAGAGAAAACATGCATTAAATTTTGGTTTTGTCGCCTGTACGATGGCGAAGTTCGTATTAGTAACGACAGTGGAGCACTCGTCGTTAAAAAGCTTCACTTTTCGAATAATTTGGAGTCCGACAGGTTTCTAATCTAAAAACTATATGCTTTTCGTGTTAGAAAAATAATTTCTTTCTAAAGGCTTTTGAGAAGATATCACATGAAAGCCATAAAATTTTACAGTAGGTTTAGACTAGGTTGTTTTTCATTGTTTTCAAATGCCGACGCGCTGTTGTATGATTGAATATTTCATGATCTCAAAAAATCCTATAATTTTAACCTGTACTTAGACCAGGGATCTCCTTTTTCAGGCAAGGATCGCCGAACGTGCTTCGAATTACTTTGCCCTGGTTAGATCAGAAACGCTTAACTTACTCAATATCCCTGGACGGTCTCTGTTGTCGAACGCATACGTCTGACCTATGTATTTCTTTAAAAATAGCTGTGAATAGCACCTGTTACGAACAGTAATAAGACAGAATGGTTTTACCGGCCATTCCTGGCTTATTAGCCGTGGTAGCATTATATTTTAATCCTATGAATCCGCGCAGATTTCTGTTGTTTTTCTGAAATTTGACAAGTGTTAATGGTTTTCCTTATGTTACTAATCAACTAGGCATAAGATATGTTTTGTAAACCTTAGGCCGTAATTAAAATGCTTCACTTTCCGCAGCCTCTAATGCCGCTTTTTAAGTGACTTCCCATCCGGCCGCTTGTCTTAGTTACATACTTGCAAAAATACCACTTAATTAGTGTACATTTTTCCTATTGACCTTTTTTCATAGAGAAAGCGTACATTAAATTTTGTTTCTGTCGCCTGCTCGATAGCAAATTACGTATTTTTAAAGATAAAAGACCATTCTCCGTTGAAAAGCTTCATTTTCTGCATGATTTGGACCCCAAAATGTTTCTTAGGTGCAACTTTGTGCTTTCTGTGTTATAAAAATAATTCATTTCTATGGCTCTTGAAAAGATATTACACGAGACCCATAAAGTGTTGCAAGAGAGGGAGACTACGTTGTTTACTTTTTACAAATGCTAACGCGCTGTTGGATGATTAAGTACGTCACGATTTCAAAAACGCCTATAATTTTAAACTTTTTTAGACCGGAAGAAGCTCATTTTCAATCAGGGGTCGTTGGACTCGCTTCGTTTTACCTTGTTCTGGTTAGAACAGAAACGTTTAGCTTCCTCAGAATTCCTGGACGGTCTCTGTTGTCGAACGCTTACGCTCCACCCATATATTTCTTTGGGAATACCTGTGCATAGCCCCTGCCTTAAACAGTACTCAGACAGTTAAGTTTAGTTGAGAAAGAGGGGTTAACACAACCCACCGTTGCTAAAGGAATGTTCAAACAGTCACCACCTCGGTAAAAGCCTTCGAGAAACAACTTATTTTGAAGGTCTACATAAAACGTAGAATTCAATCTGCCATTGTGGATGATCTCTGTGGGTAGCGATTCAGTCGAACTTACGATTGTACAGTGGAGGCAGGAGAGTCACCTGTGGGCGGTTCCGGAAGTACTGTTAGAGGACGACCATTGAGAAAGGGGCGGACATCCAGAACACCATTCTTAATAGCATCTCCGTCAGCGAAGGTGACAAATCCGTATCCCAGGCACTGGCCCGTGAAACTATCAATTACAACCCTGGCTCCTTTGACATGGCCAAATTCGGAGAAGTATTCAATGAGGTCGGTTTCGGTGGTATCTGGTGTCAAATTGCCGACATATATGGATAACATATTAGAGGTGTGTTTGGAAGCGACCTTGGTCGGCATTTTAGTCTGAGTGAGGGTGGCAGAATGATCAGCCTTGTTACGCTCTGAGATTCCGGGGTGTGAAACTCTGTAGGGAGGAGAAGACTAGGAATGCAGTTTGAATAACTACATCGGACAATGGGGTAAGTGGTCATAGATGATGCAACTACTTTGAGAAAAGACAGGTCGCTCTGTGGTTTGCCCACTGTTGTGAGCCAGAAATAGCCGGGCAGTCAATGCACGCATACTCATATTCTTAATAGCAGCTATTTCGATGATTATCCGATCGACTGTTCAACAGGCGACCATTGTTCGTTGAAGCAGTTGATCTAAACACATCTTACGGGCGTCGATTTGACTGAGCCTTGCCCCAGGAAGTGTAAAGACTAGGCCTCATTGACCGCCAAATTAGTAATTTTTTTTTACTCTTAGTTCCTCATAGAAGGCGCACTTGGACCTATAAGGCAAATTTTATGTTGAACGGTCAATTCACTCGACATAATGCTGAGCGCAGAACAAGTGAGATTAATGCCAACAATATCTGTTATATAGTTTTATTAAGACTTGTCCAGGAACGGCACAGGCCAATAATCAGTGAACGGAAACTGAAAAACGTGTCCTTATTGTTATTTTCTCAGGAAAAATTATTTGGATTGGTGAGCCAGCATTCGAGTATAAAGGTCAGATGCATCTCTGTAGCCCCATCTGAGGTAAACAAACCCAGCCGCACATGATACGGGACCAGCGATAATAGGGGTTTTACGAGTTGGGGTCGGAGAGCGTACGGGCGACGAGTCCTAACACCAAACGCTAGTCCCATACCCTAACCCCAAAGCATAACCCCTAAACCTAACCAGTAACACTAACCTCTAAAACTAACCAGTCTGGTTTGGCGACTGGCATGCTGCTATGAAGTTCCACAAACGAAACTGTGTCCGCACGCTCTACCGACGGGTGCAAACTCATTGCAGCACGCCGGCCAACAAACCGGACGAAAGGAAGCTCATCCAAGAACTCTACTGAGCCAACGGCTATTCGCGGACATTCATAAACCGGAGCTGAAGGCAGCCAAAGAAGAGCGCAGTCAGCCAGTATCGTGGCGGAGCATTCCGTACGTTTAAAGGGTCTCCGAACCCGTGGCTAGATCCCTCGCGCCACTCGGAATTGGTGTTGCCCACAGGCCTGACTCAACAATCCGCCGGCAAGTGATAGGGGCAAATGGTGGGCTACGCACTGAACAAAGTGCGCCATATAAGGATAGCTGTGCGCAAGTGCCCCCGCTCTCTGAAGATGGGTAGACGAACCAACTACTTTGGACGTCAAACATCCAATAAACCGCTCCCGGTGAAGACCTAATCTTCTTTTGATATGTCACTTGGAAAACGCATTAAAACTTCTGTCATTCCCTCCTTTTGGCTTTCAATTAATTTGATAATGTATGTTATTTCTAGAGTGGATGAAGTCTTTTTTCTAAAAATTTTTGAATCTTTAATCTTGTAATCATAATGCCGTTCTAATAACACAGGTATTAGTTAAAAGCCCAGACACGCATTCTTCGCCGATCTTATGCCGCTGCCTGATGCAGCTGCAGGGGTGCGGCTCATCAGTGGGTCCTCCAGCTTTCCCGTGGGTTTTCTGGTACATATGCACTCCAGTTTCCCCTTGCCTCGTTTAATTTCCGAGGAAACAAATGCGCGAAATTGGAGTGAATCCCTCAGAATAGGCATTTTCAGGCATGCTTCGCGATTGGATATGAACATTTGAGCCGAAATCCATTAGCTACTGCGGAATAACCGCGTAATATTCCTAACGAGCTGAACCCTTGGCAGCTGCGTCAGGCAACGGCACAAGATCGGCGAAACACACGTGTTTGGGCTTTTAGCTTATACCTGTGTTGTTAGTACGGTAAAATGATTACACAATTATATACTATCCTTGCCAGCACTCGGCCCTCTCTTGTAAGGGGACCAAGAAGGGGCTATGAAGGTGCCAGCCCCTCATGGTTTTTTCGAGGTTATCGCATGATGAACAGGCATTACTTCGTGAATGAACACGCATTTTTGGTTAAAATATGCTTTGTTAATTGCAAAAAGTACTTTTAAAATTTGGAAGTTGTAGTTTTGACATGTCTGGACGATCTTGATATAATGCGCATAATTGTTTAAGTGTGTCACTTTGGAGCACTTATCCCCCATGTGAGCTGCGTTCCTCTCGTTGTGAGCGTTAGTACTGTCTACTTTTGTCTACGTGCCGACGTTACTGCGGTATGTAATGAAATATCCTTTTGCTGTCTTTTATAGAATTTTATTGGTTTTGATGTGTAAATTAGTATTATCATTGAATAACTGCCGACATTGGCTGCCTGTTGGCGGTTTGTGAATATTACGCAGTTATTCCGCAGTGGCTGATGGATTTCAGCTCAAATATTTATGTCGAATTTCGGACCGTGTCTGAAAGGTCTGTTTTGAGAGATTTACTCAAAGTTCGCGCATTAATTTCCTCGGATACTTAACGAGGCAGGTTTTGAATCTGCATTTTTAGGATGAAGCAGATTTATTTTTCTTTCTCTGTCTCTCTTTAATGTTCATTTTCATGGCCGCCATACAAAAGCACGAACAGCTAGCTGCTACTTAAATGTATCCGAAGAAAGATCTGAGGTTGTAATCAACAGACGCGGCACGGCATCTAAATATACTTCCCCGCAATGACCTAAATGCCAACAGCACGAATTAGGCGTAAAAATGCGTATTACAATGCAAAATGTGCTCCTAATCGTCGTTTCTACTTCTGTTCAGACTGCCTAAATTTTCAATGATTACTTGAAATTCCGACTGCAGAAAACCTGACGAAGGCTTATTTAGTTTAGTCAAAATTTGGTAGTCTTTTCAAAGGCGAGGCGATGCCAAGAACGGTAATATTTAGCATGTGTAATTTGTGCAGCAATCAAGGGAGTGCAGTTTAACATGAAGAGTTCCTGAAACGTCACTGAAACATATGAGAACTGATTCCTATGCTGACAAGTGCACATCTGCGGTGCTTGTTTCCTCACTTCAAAAAATCCCTGAGAATCAAAAAATTGGATGTGTGAGTCATATTTCTCAAAGAACTCCTTCACGTACTGGAGGACATATTTACCTTCTGCGGTTGTTTTCACGTTTTAACGGGACGGGTTATATTCAAAAAGATAAATATCCGCCTTTCAGACGGGCAAATGCTTACCCAGCGTGTGCAGACAAGGCGTTCCAGGTGTCAGCCACAGTTATTTGTGTTTCGTTTATCGTATGCGGTCGATATCTAAGCACACTGTCTGCTGAGTTCGAATCACGGAAAACGACGAAAGCACGGCCGGGAACTTGACATCCTTTCATCAAGCGAATCTCCTTGACATTGCCGAAGTTTGAGAAGTACTCATAGAGATCGCACATATTTACTGATTCAGGCATGAATCCAATATAAATTCTGTTCGAGCTCGCCTTCTGCTCCATATTCCATGTAGGCCAACTGTAAGATGGCAGAAATATTTCTTGAAATTTATTAAGTTTAATTTTATAGATTGTTAAAAAGAGTCATATTTAATTTGATTACTCTAGTTGGCATCCAAACGAAGGAACGTACAGTAAGTGACCGACCTCATGAAATGTTGACTGAAATTCTGAAAAGCGTTTTCGATTAGGTAGGATTACTAAGGCGCGGTCATAAAACTAATGACTTTGCGGAATACTCCAATAGCTTTTCGAAATTGGCATAATGCCAGCTTTAGAATGCACTGCTTTTCGATCTCCAGTTGGAACCGCAACCGAAAAAAAATGTCTACTTAAGTAGTATGCATTTCTCCCATTGATTGTCGGTGGTTTTGCAAGTTCAGGCATTTTTTTGTGGAAATCATGAATAAAGATAGGCTTTCTTTCAGTCGTTTGACATAGAATCACGTGACCTTTATATTTTATACTCGAAGAGAGAGTATAAATAGGTTTTAAAAAATTCTAATTAAAAGCAAAAAGCCCATTCATATAGCATCGTACCCGTCCGTTTAACACTGCTCCTCATGAATTGTACCGCATAGTCCGCATCCATTGCAAAATTTTATGGACTTTATATAGTATCTTCTAAAATGCCTAGAAGAATATGTGATTTTCTTTACGCTTAACGCAGGCACCTTGTAGACTGAAATCACTAAACGCCAGTACGACGACTCATCAGGCTCCAAATAATTCGGCTATTAGTAAACCTGTTTAAAACAAAATTATACTCCCCTTTCGAGTATAAAATATTAAGGTGACGTGATTTTCTATCAAGCGACTGAAAGAAAGCCTATCTTTGTTCGTGGTTTCTACGAAATATGTTTAAATTAGCAAGACTATCCAAACTCAATGGGAAAAAAATATGCTACTTAAATAGTTACTTTTTTCCACGGAAATTAAAAGCAATGTATTCAAAAGCTGACGTCCTGCCAAGTCAAAAATATAATTAGATTATGCCGCGAGATAATCAATACTACAACCGCGCCTAAGTAATCCTCCCTAGTCGTAAGCGCATTTCAGAATTTCAGCCAACATTTCATGAGATCGGTCACCCACTGTAGGTAAATATGACGAGCAATAGAAGCTGCGCCGCGATACATGCGATACGCTTCATCTTTTAATGAAAAATATGCAAGAATTTCGGCAATGATTCCTGAGTTCCCTCCTATCTATATTGCAAATCCACACATTATCTCTGCTGAGTTTGGTTCCTCTGCAATAGACGCAATAATTTTTCCCATTTTTTCTTTTAATTCTCTTAAACGATATCTTTATAAAGGCCAAGTGGCGGTTTCTGGTGAAACCACGGGAGACGTGCTCACATTCATACAACGTGCGATAGTCCGTGGCATTGCCGCTTAGAACAGGGATACAAAGTAGCTTCTGTTATGGCTCACATTCTAAACCACATAACCCTTTAGGGTATTTCGAGAGGGAAAGTAAAGGACTAAAGATCTCAGTGCTGATTATCTCGCAAGAAGTTGGTCTCTGGAACGCAGTTGACTGTGAACGAATATTTTTTTGTCTCTGACACAGGTTCAAGAAGCCATTCTACACGCGAAAATCGCCTGTGATCCGCCGCTTGGCAGTCGTTTGCTAAAATTCCTGCCAATTACTTGTTGAGGATGTGGTAGTACGCCTAGGTGCGGTTTCGGCCGTGCCAGCCACCTACGCCTTTCCCGCCTCCGGTCTGCATGACTACAATTATTCTAAAACTGAAATTCCCGTTGCATTTACATTCAAGCTTTCCGAAAAAAGCTATATGCTTCTCATCCAGGAGAAATCAAACATTTCTGTGTACTTTGAAAGAGATGACGTTTAGGGCTTCTAAATTCTGTAATGTTTGTGGAACAAGTTGTCAGATTTATAAGAAGTACCAGTCAACTTGCTGCTGTGATGCAGTATAATTGAACATTTCACGCTCTAAAAAATAAAATAATTAAAAGTTCTCAGTTAGGGAGATACGTTTTCGATTAAAAGCGACTAACCATGTAGATTGAAGTACTAATTCTACTGCAACATGACTACAAAATATTTCAGTCCCATTATGCCGCTGGCTTTAGAATGAACCTTGCTCCGGACGAAGCGAAAACCACATTATGTAGAATTAACTGTTTAAATAGGGTATTTGTACATAAATTTTCAAAACTCTTACAAATTCAATTATACAATACGTGACCTATCTCATGCAATCTCATATCGGAATCTGATGGGAGAGTTTCTGGACAATTTAAACGTTGTGCATTTTGCTCGCTCACCCACATCCTTCAACGAAATGTACTTTTCTTGTTCAGAAATTGTGTTAAGGTAATTGTATCAAAAAAATACCAGGAAATTTTAGCAAAAATGGTCTATGGAATATATTCGTTCAATTACCTAGGCTAATACATGTCCTAGACTCCGGTTACGAATCTGGGCGACTTCGTCACTGAACGGATAGTAATTTAACTGCAAGAGTTTTAATAAACAAATTTAGCCGAACTTGAAATTTTATTATAAGTCCCATAATAACCATGTTGATCACCCTGCTTGCACAAAGGTCATTTTAAGGAAACCAGAGGTCTTAAAAATTTCTTAGTGTCAAATTAGCAGATCTGTACGATATGGTGTTCAAAACAGCAGTAAAAACGCAGACAGGTATTCCTTCGTTTAAGTGGGCTGAAATTATTTTGCCATTTGGAAAATTCTACCTGATCTCACATAGATGAACACCACGGAATGGTCATTTCCTGCTTTAACCATATGAAACACTACTTGTCGTTTATGTTAGCTCCAGCGCATATCTCATTCAGAAATAGAACGAGCAGAACATTAATAGTTTCATCAAAATATCAATATGAATATGGACGCTCTGCCGTGCATTCATAATCAAAGAACGGAGTCTAAAAGCGAGCACTTCTTAACTAGATAACTTACTAAGTAAATTTTTTTTATTGATTTAAAATATATTCGCTGCTGACTTTCGTTGTGGACAGCCACCCTTCTTGAAAATGAAGTTTAATGTTTGAATAGGCCTTCACATGTGACCCAAACAATCATCTTCGGGAAAAGGAACATTCGAACACTCGGTAATTTGTTAAATGCCTTTAAAAATAGTCTTATTTTAAGGTTCTTAACAGATGCTTAATTCAGACTCTGTATGTATGGACGGTCGACTGAAAACACTAAAAATCATGAAGTATTCAGCAATATTTCGAGGCCGGTCTGAAAATCAGCGCAATCTTAAATGAAGCAAAAGTGTGAATTAATGAAAAGGAAGAAGAATTTGCCTCAATAAACATAAAATTGTATGTTTACGATCAGGCCTGTCAATTCTAGTTAAATTTATTAGGCACTGACCTGACTTGTGGCATGTCACCTTATGAAATTTTTTGTTCCTTCGACGTCCCCATCGGCGAAATCAAGCAAATTTCAGCTTCTCTTGTTGAATTTCCTCTCATTTTACCCCAATTTATCACGGAAATTACAAAACACTGGAAAACTGCTTTGGGACCTACACCCAGAATATAGGCAGTTGACAAACCGTCATATTTGAAATCACATTATTTATTAAACGATATTTAGATTTAAACTTGACTTAAACACTGTTATTAAACGTTTTTTATGTCTACTTCAATATTTACTACGTTTTTGGTATGAAAATGCATTCAATACATCAAAGAACGAAAGTTGTTTAATAAAAGCCATTTCCAATGTTTTCGGGATATTGCATTTTTCAAAAAATATCGACATTTCTAAACGATACAACAATGCCTATAGTATTTCTTTTATGTTTTTTATTCCTTTAAACTTGTACTTAATTACATAGACATTTGACCCATCAAATTGTGTCGGTTTGCTAGGGATTGACAATCTTTTGTGAATTTCGACACATTACATGAGGTAGGTCACTAACTGTAATATTATAGACAACATGGACCATGTATTTTTCCCTTCGTTTATATGGTAGCAAATCACGTGTTCTTCGATTTTTTTTACTTGAAGAGAGAGAGACAGTATTGTTCTATTTATAAACATTTTTGACGGGCAAATAATTCTGAACCCAACCAGCCTCTACACTTACATTCAGGATTTTAAAACCACGCACCGAATACAATTTCCCAGAAGAATATAATGCACTGTTCTTCGTTGCGATGAAGATGTCATATACAACTCCTAAAATAACGCAAAGAATGTGACCTGATAGCATGCCTGATTGTTGGCTTTGGCAAGGATGCTTCATGATATTGGATGAATTTACGTTTCTTGGTATTAAAAGAGCTAATAATGGCAAGAAAAACCGATTGTACTTTTAAAACATCATCAAAAACTGTCATAAGTCCTGGAAACTGACAAGACATACTGACATACTCAACACACGTATATTTTTTCGCCCCTTCAGCTAAGTTGCCAAGTTTATGTGAAGCTTGAGACCGAATTAGGCAGGACTGGCTAAGATATACGTCTGATCTTTATCAGTCACTGCCCTTAAACGCATATTTTGTCGTTTCAATCTTGTATCGTAGAGTTCTAGCCGACGAAACAGTTTTATAAGAACGAGAGAAACGGCCATTGGTTTACAGTAGTTAAGATATCACCGTTTTTAGCCTCATATGTCAATGCGGAAGTGCGTTAAAAGAGCAGATGCTTGAAAAAAGACTTATTTTGATGATGATACCGCAATCACCGCTTCCACACTTGCAAAAGTAATCTGTATGATAGTAAAACTTACACAATACCGCTAAGCTGGCAAAACGCAGTTGAGTGTACCTCCGGCGCAGATAGATTACAGACGTGCTAAAGGCGAATGCAATTGTTCAAACTTAGTAAAAAAACGTCTCAAAAAGTGAAAAACTACGTTGAACTGTAAAGAATGAACACAAAATATTTAGGCCAACGAGCAGGTTGTGTAAGGAATCAACTAGGCTTACGATTGCATGGTGAAGTCAAAAGATTCATCAAAGTACAGTCCCAGATGTACTGTTAGACGGCAGCTATAGAGAAAGTGGGAGAACTTCAAAACACCAGCCTTCATGGCCTTCCCGTCGGCGAAGGTGATAAATCCGTATCCTAGGTACCAGTCCGCGAAATTATTAAATTACAACCCGAGCGTCCTTGGCAAGGCCGGATTGCGAGAAGTAATCAATGAGATCTGTTTCGATGGCATTTGGGTGTCAAATTTCCGACATACAGTACGTGAACTATGTCATGAAATCTGATAACGGAAACTAATGCAAGAATTTCTGGACATCTTTAACGTTGCGCATTTTGTTCGCCCATTCACATCTTTCAATGAAATGTCCTTTTCTTGTGTAGAAATTTTGTTTACGTAACTATATTAAGTAAAATATCAGAAAATTTTAGCAATGATGGACGTTAAAATATATTCGTACAATTTCCTTTGCTAATACATGCCCTAGACCCCGGTTACGCATCTGAGCGACTTTTCCATTGAAAGGATAATACGTTACGCGCGAAAGTTTAAACAACCAGATTTAGCCGAAATTCAAATTTTATTTTAGGCTCGATGTTTACCGTGGTAATCGACCTGCTAACACAAAGGTTATTTTAAGGAAACCAGAGGTGTTTTGAATACCTAAATGTTGAATTACTGCCCTGAAGTGCAGTAATAACGCAGATAGGGATTCCTTTTGATTAAATGGGCTGAAATTGTTTTGGCGCTTGAAAATTCTACCTGATGTCACATAAATGCCCACCCTGGAATGGTCATTTCCAGCTCCAAACGAATGAAACACCACTTGTCGGGTAGTTAAGCATCTTTGCACAGCTCATTCAGACATAGAACGAGCAAAACATTAACAGTTTCGGAGAAGTATCAGTGTTCTATGGGCGCTCTGCTTTGCATTCATAATCGAAGAACGGAGTCTCAAAGCAAACAAAACAGTTAAAATGGCCTAAATGTATATAGGAAGGCACGTAATTACGTTCAAGGTATAAAAATATTAGTAATTTTAAGAAACGCGAAAGAAACGGCCAAAAGTGTCAAATTTTTATATGGCCTCACCGTGCAAAAATGCAAAGTACACGGAGACCCGTCAACGGAGTGCAGTAACAAAGCACTCTCTAAATAAATAACTCATTGATCTGAAGCAACCTGTTGTTGACTTTCCTTGTGGACAGCCAACTATTTCGAAAATGAAGTCTTATGCTTGAATGAGTCTTCTCATGTGACTTAAACGATCATCTTCGTAAAAAGGAGCGTCCGGATACTCGTAAATTCGGCAAATGCCTTCAAGAATAATCCTTTATAATAAGTAATTACCGGACAGGTAATTCAGAATCTGTCTTTATGGACGATTGGGCGAAAACACTGAAAACCTCGAAGTATTCAGCAATATTTCTAGGCGGATATGGAACTCAACGTAACTCAAAACGAACGAAAAGTGCAAATTAGTTTAACGGAAGAAAAGTGTTTATATAAACAAAAAATGGTATACTTACGATCACGCCTGTCAGCTTTATTTAAATTTATTAGGCACTGATCGGCCTGACAGCACGTCACCTTATGAAAACCTTTGTTCAAACGAATCCCTGGAAAACTGTTTTGGAATCCACATTCAGAATGTAGGCAGTTGACAAACCGTCATATATGAAGTTACACTAATTATTAAACGATATTTAGATGTCAACTTCACTGAAACACTATTTTTGGACGTTATTTTATTTATACTTTCATACTTACTACGTGTTTGGTATGGGAATACATTTTATACATCTAAAAACAAAGTTTACTAAGTAAGAGCCATTTCTGACGTTTTCGGGATATTGCTCTTTTTTAAAAAAATTTGGAATTTTTAAAAAACGCAACACCACCTTTAATATTTCTTTAGTTTTTTTAATTCTCCTGAACTCGTACATAATTAATATAGACATTGTACTCATGAAATGATGTCGGTTTGCAAGTGATGGGCAGTCGTTCGTAAATTTGGACACATTTCATGAGTTTGGTCGCCAACTGTTAGTTGGCCTGAGTCGACCGACTAATAAGCGCAGAGCCTTCTCTACATCAAGATCTTCTTCGAATGGCATGAGGTTGAAACCTGAATGGCCGAGAAAAACCCCAATCACAACAGTCAAATAACCTGCTGTAGCGCCGGTCTCACCGAGGTCCTCGGTGGGTACTTTTAGACGGACCTGAAGGTGGCTTATATTTTGAAATATCCGCTGTATTTGCTCTGGAGACAAATGTCCTCAAAAAATCGTGATCAAAAAACAAAGTAAAATCATTGGAAAAACCGATAGAGAAGACGAGCGTAACAAGAAGCAGCTCAGAAGACTGAAATGCAATTGCTAAACGTCCTGCCCCTGTAACAACAGATTGGATGCCAGGATAAGATCACGTCTTCTGTATTTCAGCCTTAGTTATTTTATTTTTACTTTCACATTTATTGCGTTTTTGGTATGAAAATACATTCTATACATCTAAAAATGAAGTTTAATAAATTACGGCAATTTTGGCGTTTTCGGGATATTGCGCTTTTCTAAAAAAACGGTATATCTAAGCAACGCAACATTGCCTTTTAATTCTCTTAAACTTGTGCTTCATTAAGATAGACATTGGATTCATGAAATGGTGTCAGTTTGCGAGTGCTTGGCGATCATTCGTAAATGTCGACACATTTTATGAGTTAGGTCACTAACTGTATGTTGAAATTAGTCAAAGTATGACGATTAAACACTTATGCATCTCTGCCATCGATGAACAGGATCATTTATCTCCCGTCCACAAAAGTCTGTTTGTTTTTATGCAAAGAATTCGTTGAATCCGGTTTCCACCTCAGTTTGTTTTCGAAAGCTTTGTCGCTTAAAGCCTGTCTAGGCGCTTAGAAATCACATTGCATTCATATTTTATGCCCAAAACAAGTGTGTATTTAGGAAAATCATACACTTATATATGCCTTTAAGAAGATATCCTATAGAATTTATGACATTTTACACTGGATCGGATTTTGTTGTACATTTTATCAGTTACATTAGCAAACGGTCTTGCATGCATGAACATCACACGGTCTGAAAAATCTCATTATTAGAAACTCGTTCAAAACCAAAATGTGCACTTTCTTCGGGCATACAACATAAAGAACATGTAATTTTCTACCAAATGAGCAAAAGAAAGCATATTTTTGTGCATGTTCTCCATAAAATACATCTGAATTTATAAGACCATCGAAAATAAATAGGAAAAATGCATGCTAGTTAAGTAGTTATTTTGTACAGAGTACGGTTCCCGCAGGAGGTGACAAAGGAAGTACATTCAAAAGCTGACATTCTAAAGAGTCCAAAAAGTTGTAGGTTTATGCTGCATGATAATCACTTAAGTAATCCTTCTATATCGGAAATGCATTCCAGTATTTTGGCCAACATTTCATGAGATCGGTCATGCATTGTACGTCATACATTGAGAAGGCGGTTCGCTTTCAGCAGAGAATGAAAATTCAAGGTGAGACTTTGCTAAACGGGCATTCAACGCACGCATATTCTTAATTCAAATAACATCCGTTCAGACGATCAGACAACCGATTGCCCGATAGGCAACCATGTTTTGTCGAATTGGTTTGCGTGAACACATCTTACTTGTATCGATGTGACTGACTTGCCCGTTAGGGATTCGCCGTTTTGCTTCTGTTTTCAAGAAAAAAATGTGCCCAAGGAAGGTTGAGACGAGACGCCAATGACCGACAACTGGAGAACATGTTTTATTGTCACGTTTCCAGAAACAAATTATTGGGGGTGATCAAAACGTCCAAGTTGAATAATCAGGCAAAATACACAATTCTGAATATTAGGGGATTGAAATTACTCATCTAATTCTGGAGAAAACTGTCAACGTCATCGGCGTAACCGCTGAATTAGGACTTGGGCTTTAGGTTTCATCTGGCCGTTCTCCTCTGAGGGAATCGTGACAGGCAACAGTTATGTGGCCATACTCAATAGTGATTTCCTGCCAAAAGTGTCCAAATAACCACATGCTTTTGCGATGTGTTTCCAGCAAGCCGGTACATCTCCCCATTACTGCACTGTTATGCGCCACTTACTCCATGATCATTTCAGGCACAAAGCAACTGGATATCATGTTTCTATAAGGTAAATATCGCCCTTCTTTATCATGTTTTACAGCTCTGGTATTTTAGCACTGGTGTGTGTAAAAACACTGGTTAAAAGCTTAGGTCAGATGCGGTTTGGAAGCCCCACCTGAAGTAAACAAACCCCAATCACCTCTAATACGGGACCGGTGGCAATAGGGTTTTTTACATTTGGAGCCGGGGAACGCACAGGATACGAGGTCAAGTAGTTGTATGCAAATGAAAGGCTGTTGGAATTGCGCGGTTGTGCCATAAACCCTAACCCCTAAACCTAACCCCCAATCATAACCCCTCACCCCTAACCATCACCCCGAACCATACCCCCTAACCCTAACCATTAACCCCAACCCCAACAGTATTGTGTCCATAAAGTGGAGCTACCAAACCACATCTTACCAAAACGTACCCCAAGGATGATGGATTGCTGTACAAAAAGCAACTAACAGTTGCTCAGTTGTGTGCTACGCGATCGAAATTACGAGCGTTTACTCCGTGACAGTCCGCGCCTCCGACGCTTCGTCACGCCGCCTTCCTGACCGTCTCACACTCCCTGTCGATCTGTTGATGGGATGCGCTAGGCTTGTCACTAGCCTCGCGGCTGCTCGAAGCCAATTAACGTTGTCCCTACTCTGATTGGCTGGCGTACACTGACAGAACGAAAGGCATACACGCGCAGGGTCTAAGCCCCTCAACGGCGGACACGGACGGCATAACTGGCTTGGCGAGCACGCTCGCGGCGACTGTTTGCAGGGCCTTTTTGTGCGCACATCTTCGGGAATAATGGTTGTCCAACCCGACCAATCCGTCTTCTGATTTGGGAATCGCTGTATTGTTGACCATAGAATTTTGACAACTCTAATTGTGCTTTCTGTGATACTTGTTTCGTAAAAATTTCATTTCGTAAATTGTGACCTGAATGTGAATACGCTGC